CTAAACCCCCCCCCCCCATGGCACAGGGGAAGCCGGCACGTGCCTTCCCCGGGGCCAACCCTCCCCTCCCACGGCAGAGGGGAAGCCAGCGTGTACCTCCCTTGAGGCTGACACCCCCCCTCCAGCATGGGGAACTACCACACTCTGCCTCTCCCAGGGTCGACTCCCCGCCTCCAGCGGTGCACGGGAAGCTGGCGCGTGCCTCCCCCGGGGCCAACTCCCCGTGCTCCTCTTCCAGGGCCAACTCACCCCTCCTGCGGTACAGGGAAGCCTTCCTCCGGGGCCGACACCAGGAAGGGGAAGTGGCAGAGAATTTGGCACCCCAGTTAACTTGGCGCCCTAGGCGGCTGCCGAGTTTGCCTATAGGCACAGGCTGCCCCTGATTCAGAGGGAGCAGAGTGGTAACCACACCTGTTTCTGCCACTGCGAAGCGGCTAGGGAGCAGGGTGACAGCAAATAGCGACCTGCCATGCCCACAATCCTGACCCCCTACTTCCCTGGGTGGCTCTCCAGCAGGCTGGCCAAAGGTGGGGAAGTTGGGATGGGATGCAAGAGAAGTCAGAATCTCGTGTAAATACAGAGCGCTCAGCCTCAGCAGTAACATCACCTTCCTCCCAGCCCTTCCTTCTGTATCCGACACAGAGCTGCTTTGGGTAAAAGTGAATCCCCAGCCTCCTAGGGAGTGAAGAAGAGAGAGAGAGAGGGGCTTTCTGCTCTGGTGCACACAGATTTATGGCTCCCAGGACACACCCGGGTCATAGGACCCCTGAGTTCCTTTTTCTCTCACTACTTGGAGTTTGGAAATAAAAGCCCAAATATTCACAACCTGGAAAAGGTTGCTAGGCAAGCCACTTCCCTCCGTTAAAAAACATCACTCCTCCTGTGAATGATTAAGAGCTGGTTAGAAGGAAACACACCTACGCAGTCTAGGGAACCTTCCAGCTAAAACCAATACACACTCTTTTAAACGAGAAGATAAACCAGCTAGTCTACAGGGCTTTATAACCACTGAATGCATCCTGAGCTGCGCCTACAAACATTTCTACGTGAGCAGTAGATTTACTGATCGCCCTCTAATGGGCAGTTATGGATTGCTGTTATTGTTGTGTTTGATAAACTACGGATGTGTTCTTTATTGGGCGCTTACAGTCTGAACCAGGTACAGAAAATCCATATAGTCTCCCCCAAGAGTTTACCAATACATTTAACACAATAGGTTTCACAATCCTTATTAGCTTAGAATCAGAAGGGTAGCCCTGTTAATCTGAATCTGCATAAACTACCAGAAATCCTGTGGCACCTTATAGACTAACTGATTTATTGGAGCACAAGCTTTCATGGGCAAAAGTGGGTATCTTGCCCATGAAAGCTTGTGCTCCAATAAATCAGTTAGTCTATAAGGTGCCACAGGACTTCTCCTTATTAGCCCATTTTCTGTAAGCATGGCTTTTGGACATCCCTCTCCGGTCTATCAATTTGGTTTTGGTAATTGTGATTTTATTAAAATTAAATGAGTACACTAGTAGGCAATTGTTTTATTTTACTAACTACATATTTTCAGTTTTCATTTTTTTAAAATTTTAAACAGTAAAAAAAAAATTGGAAAGTGCAAACATGTGTAAAAGCCAACAAAAAAGGGGGCGGCCAAAAAATGTTTTGCTTGGGGCAGCAAAAAAACCTAGAGCTGGCCCTGGGTCAGCCATAGGCTCGCTCCCACCCCCAGTCTTTTTAACTTGATATACTTACTTGTCTAAACAAACTGACTTGTCTTCAATAAAATGTTAACAAGTGCTAGATAATTCAAGGTAAGAGAACATCTTTGTTTCTAATGAAAATACACCCTTCAGCTTTAACTCCTTAATAACCATGCACATTGTTTAACTTGGTCCCTTCTATTACACTATATTAATATAATTTTGCAGGAAAATTGCAGGTTACTAACAACAGGTTTTTTTACCTTCTGTTAGACTGCTATATTCTCAGTTTATTCACAAACTTAGTTATATCATGCAACTCCCCCTAACAAACATAATAGAAAAAGGAGAAGGAAAAATTGGGTTTCCTTTTCTTGGTAAGGAATACTGTGAGATAAAATTATAGAGCTGAAAGAGACCTCAGAAAGTCATCAGGTCCAGCCCCCTGCTCTATGCAGGACCAATCCCAACTAAATCAACCCAGCCAGGGCTTTGTCAAGCCGAGATACTGTGATTAAACAAAATTTCTCTCTTGCCCCTGGCAGCAGAAATCAGTAGAAGTGTCAGATGAGCAGGCAGAGCCAAATCCAGGTGCATCTAAACTACACTGTTATATTAAAAACATCAGAATCCAAACTATAATGGGATATAGAGTATTAAACTCACTAATCCAGTGTTTCCCAATTTTATTTCGCCATAGACCCGTAGGCAAAAAAAAAAAAAAGGAGGAGGGAGGGGGGAGAGGAACCCAATGCATGAAAATCACATTCCTTCCCCAAGACTCCACCCCTTTGAGGCCCCATCCTCTCTGTTCCCCTCCTCTCCATCACTTGCTATCCCCAGCCCTTATACACTCTCACTGGGTTGAGACAGGAGGTACGGGCTCTGGAGTGGGAATGAGGGATTTTGGTGTGGGAAGGGGAGAGAAGTGCAAGCTCTGGGAGGGAATTTGGATGCAGGAGAAGGTGATGCTGGCTCAGGGTGGGGGCTCCAGGCTGGGGAGTGTTGGGCTTAGGTGGAAGATTGGGGTGCCGAGCAAGTCACAGGCTTGTGGATGTGAGGGTGCAGGAGTTTGGTTTGGATATGTGAGGGGCCCAGGGAAAGGAGGCTGTGAGTATGATGGGCTCAGGACACAGATTTGTGATGTGTGGATGGTGCAGGAGTGTTGTGGCAGAAGACTGAGGATGTGGGAATGCAGGAGTTGAGGGATGTAAGAGGCTCAGGACAGGGGGTTCCAGTGTATGATAGACTCAGATTTGGGGTCAGGTGGTGCAGAGGTGTTATGGTGCTGCAGTGAGATGGGGATTTGGCCCAATTGGGGGCATGTTGGCCAGGCTTCCTTTTTAAATAACATATTATGTCAAACTCAAAAGGTTTTAGCATTGTCTTTATTTATGAGAGGGGTGGGGAATCTGTTTTGAGTCAAGGGTCACTGACACACAGAAAAGTCAGTTGGGACCACACAAGTGAGATGCAAAAACCCCCAACCCTCACTAATGTGGTCCCAACAGTGCTGGTGGGGGCAGGGGACAGGGTGCTGGTGGGAGCTGGGGCTGGGGAGAGGGTGCTGCTGGGTGGCAGGATGCTGTCACAGGTGGTGGGGTGGAGTGGGTGCTGCTGGGTGGCAGGGTGGATGGCAGGGTGCTGGGGCGAGGGCCAGGGAGATGCTGG